TTTAAAACTTTTTATTTATTATTATTACTATTTTTTTTTCTTTTTGGTCTTTTTGAGACAAGGTCTCCCTGTAGCCCCAGCTGGCCTGGATTCGCTATGGAGACTAGGCTGGCCTCGAACTCACAGAGATCTGCCTGCTTCTGCCTCCCGAGTGCTGGGATTAAAAGCACACACCACCACATCCAGCCCTATTTATCATTATTATTTTTAATTATGTGCTTATGTGTGTGTTCCTGTGTGGGTATGTGCATGTGAATGCAGGTGCTCACTCTAAATCTGAGTCCTCTGCCAGGGTACCAAGTGCTGTTTACTACTGAGTCATCTGTCCAGCCCCAGCCTTTCACGATTTTTTAAAAGATGGATTCTACAACATCTATCTCGCCTTTTATATATCAATGCTCTGCCCTGACTGTTCCTAGAAACCAAACAAGAACAAAAAAACTCTCTTCATTTCAAAAACATCTCTACTGAGGAGAGAAAAAGGACTTTGGAAGACGGACACTCAGCGTCTTAGTTTGCTCCTGGGCATCATCTTGTAACAGAATTTTCAGTTTAAATCACTCAAGGCTGCTTCGCTGTTCTTACCAAAAATATGGAGATGGTCTCAGGCAGTGAATTTTTTTTCTCATAGGTGGGTCCCTTCAAGAAATAATGGTTACCTCGATCTGCGCAGTGTGGTCGGCATAATGCTTCAAGGCCTCGTCCCCTTCCTCCGGGTCCGACCCTGGCTTTAGCATTTGCTGCAGCACTTTGTTGTGACGAGCCAGCTGCAGGGGAGAGAAAAGTTTACAGTCTTTTCACCCCTTTCTCTGATCAGACTTTGAAATCACTTTGTGTATCTGTGCACACGGCTCTAAAAAGTCCCAGCGCTAATGGCAGTTAGTCACATGTCCAAAAGCATGTCTACATTTGAAAAGCATAAATAATCAATTCATAAGGATTAGCTAATAGTGATCCTCAATAAATGTGTGATTGTACTAGAAAGAAGAAATTCTAGCAGTGGCATAGGCAAAAACAAAATTCCCTCCAATACTTTTAAACTACATGTACATGTCAAACAACCTGACCAGCAGGGTGGCAGAAACAATACAAGGGTGGCTTCCTGTAGACACATGAACAGGGCTCTGTGTTTTGGAAGGATTTCTCTTTCTTCATCTAATCCAAGGTATGCATTAACAGTCTTTCCTTCCACATCTTAGCATGTCAAACCTGGCATTTTAGAGGCAGGTTTTAACTCTATTGTAACTGAAACTGAACATCTAAAAATAATAACTTCATCACAGATTATCTTTTTTCCTATGTGCATGTGTGTATGGTGTGTGTGTGGTGTGTGTGTGTGTGTGTGTGTGTGTGTGTGTGTGTGTGTGTGCGCGCGCGCGAGCGTGCGCATGCTCATTGTGTGTGTGTGTGTGTGTGTGTGTGTGTGTGTGTGCGCACGCGAGCGTGTGCATGCTCATGTTGGCTGTGCATGTGTGTCTAAGCTAGGGTCCATGTTGGGTATCTTCCATATAGGTGTCCACACTATTTTTTGAGATGGGCTCTCTCACAGAACCCATAGCTCCCAGTTCTGCCAGACTGGACGGCCACCAAGCCCCAGAATCTTTCTCTCGCTGCCTCTTCAGGAGACCTGCAAGCACTTCTGTGGCACTCAGCCTTCTTTGTGGGTGCTGAGGACCTGAATCCATGTCCTCATGCACCCCTGCTGAGCCATCCCCCACCCCATCACAGAAGTCATCTTAAAACGCTGTTGGTAAAAGCAATGTTCTTATTTGAGCATTGGAGGTATTGAGTGTTTCTTTCATTTTGAGGATAATTAATACACACTGACATCAAATGGATTTTTCACAGCTTTCTTGAGCAATTCCTCAAACCTCGCAACTGTCCTTAACCTTCCAAACGGTTCGTTTGTGCCTCAGGTTCCCCGGGGGCTTCTAGTGACCAACGCTGTGCCACACAAGTCCCCACTCCCAGAAGCCCATCCCACTCTACTAGGAGCTTTCAGATCTAATTTCTACTAAGAAAGCCCATTTTATAGATGAGGAAACCGAGGCCTGGGAAGTGTGGAACTGGCCTTTAATCACATAGGTAGAAACTGGTAAACCCCACCAATACTGAATTCAGACAGTACAACTCCAGAGTTGGTATTTTGTCAGCAACGCAGAGTAGTAAACACTTCATCCTATTATTCATGAGGTCTTAATGCAAATGGCATCATAAAGAATTGACATAAATTTTAAATGATAACCCAGACCTATAAAACCAAGCAAATATTATTCTTGAAAGTGATAATCTGATAAACTAAACAGTCACTCCATTGACCGCTCCAAATAAATCATTTTTGAAACTATTATTTTACAATTAGTTTTCAGGGTCATTGACATACATCACTCAAGAAAATGATATCTTGTTTTGGTTATATTTTATCTTCAACTAAATGTGAATTATATAGATTTTTATTACCAACCATGGTCATGAAACTTGCTGCGACTTGTAGATATTCTTAAAAGTCTAAAGGAATTCCAAGAAGTTGAAACTACTGGACTCTTTCAGCACATTAACAACCAGCACGCAGTGGCCAGTTCTAGAAGGTGAAACTTACATAAGTTGCTTACAAGTTGGACCAGGATATGGGGGGCGGGGTGGAGAGAAGAGTGGAGAGCTGAGGATACATTGTGGTTTGGATCCTAGATGTCCTATGAAGGTTTGATGCTGAATGTTGTCAACACTGCTGCAAAGTGTGGAAACCTTTGGGAGGCGGGGCCTACGGGAGGAAGTTACATCACTGGAATGAGCCCTTGAAGGGTGAACTGAGACCCAGGCTCTTCTTTCCTTCTCCTTCCTACTTCCCAGAGGCCAGCGTGCAGTATCAGAACCCTGCCCTGCCACACGGTCCCTGCTGAGGTGTTCAGGCTTGTCACGGTCCCAAAGAGTATGGCCAAGTAACCAGAGATACAGACCTCTGAAACTCTGACTCAGAATTCTGTGAGTGATAAAAATCTGCTTAAAAACTCCAAAATTATTGGACTGAAATGCCAATCACTAAGATAAAATACAGGAATATATTTAGTAGAGAAAATAAAGACTTTGGTTTCAGAAACCTGAAAGCTTCTGGTGTTGCCATGAAGGAGACAGGGAGCAGCCCTTGCACAGGTTTGCCACACACCCTAGGCAGAGGTCAGGCAACGTGGGTATAAAATATTTAAAAATTCACAAGAGGCCATGTTTTGGAATACACTGCTGCACCAGGCACCCACAGACCAGCCTAAAACTCCACAGAGAGTCCCCTGTACCAAAGTTCCAGGTCACCAAACTAAGATGAATTATCTGAACTTCTAACACATCAGGTGCAAGAACAGCCCAGTTCCCAAACAGGCAGATTCAGTGGGTACTAATGACAAGGGTCACTTGGCTTCCATCCTTACCAGAAATGAACCTGAATTGGGCCCATGTCAACTGATCAGTGACTTTTCTACTGCCCCCCCTGCCCCTACTTACGTTCCTTCAACCCTCTTCTGTAAGATGAACTTCTTCATCTCATCATAACAAATATTGCACTTTATTCTATTTTCTGGAAGGAACTGGTAACTGAGTTGAAAATCCCAATGAAAGCCAAGTAAGTTTTATTTAGTATTTTATTTAGTATTTTTATTTTATGTTTATGAGTGTCATTGCCTGCAATGTATGTAAGTGCACCCATGTCGTGCAATTTCCCCTGGAGTCAGAAGAGGGCATTGAATTCCCTTAGAACTAGAGTTATGGACAGTTGTTAGCCATCATGTGGATGCTGGGAATTGAACCCTTGTCCTCTGCAAGAGCAACCAGTGCTCCTGATTGCTGAGCCATCTCTCCAGCCCCACCAATTAAGATCTTGAAACTGAATTTGTTGGAAATTTTTTGACATCGGTATACAGCAAAAATTCAAAATCATGAACCTTCTGTTGTGCCCAGAGAACGGACCCCCAAGAATAGCCACAGAATTCAGAGGGCATGCAAGAACAAAGACTCTTTATTCGGGCTTAAGCTCGGGCTCCTGAGAGCCTCACCAACGCAATGGATCTGTGCTGAGAGCCCCGATTGCAGGGGGAGGAAGCCTTTTATAGGTTTTAGACCAAGGCAGGAGGGGAATAACAGAGTTACACCTTGATTGGTCCGAGGAGCCCGCGCATGCCAGCACACTTTTGAATTGATTGGTTACAAGGGATGCAGTCCTGGGGGTTTCTCATTGGTGGGTGCTACCCTCAGAGCTATGGAATGTGCTGACTGTTATCTGTGAGGCCAGGAGTCTCTGTTCTTACCTTATAAGGCTGCTATATGCCTGGGACTGCTTGATCTATAGCCTCCTGGGGTGGGGGTAGTAGGTGGAGATTACAGCATGCCTGGACAGGTCCAGGCTTGCCTGAAGCAACTAGTCAAAATGGGGTCAGTGCAGTTTGTCCTCTCAGCCTAGCGATCAAGCGGTTTACAGAAGCGAGAAAGAGCCGTTATTCCTAGAGGGGCCGGGGTCTCAGGAGTCACGGCAGGGGGCCCAGAGGAGGGTTTCACACTTCATGGAATCACCTTAGAGTGCCCATAGACCATGAAAGTGTTAGCATGGAACCAAAAGAGACGGAGACAGAACGTACGGGCACAGAAGCCTGAGAAGCAGGTCAGTGAGGGAGGAATTTCAAGATGGAGGGAATGATCGTGCACATTCCACTTAGGGCTGGGAAGTGCCATTCTGTTTAGCAATTTGGAAGCTGTGATTTGAATGTGAAATGCCCTCCACAGGCTTGTGCATTCGAACATTTGGTCTCCAATTGGTGGTACTGTTTGGGGAGGTTATGGACCTTTAGGAGTTGGGGTCTAGTTAGGGTCAGTGGGGAGCAGGCCTTAAGGCTTATAGCCTGGCCCTGCATCTAGCCCTCCCTCAGCCTCCTGATTGACACTGAATAACACTGAGTCCTAGGCTCTAAGTTTCTACCCCTGAGGATGGAGCCTGGCCATTGTGCCTTCCCCACCACGATGGATTATATCCCTTGAACTATGAGCCAAAATAAACCTTTTCCTTCTTCACATATTTGGTCACAGAAATGAAAGAAGCAGGCAGTTCAGAACTCACGAGTGGGCCTGACAGCAGGAGCTCCAGGCAGTGCTGAGCACCGCATCTGAACTGCAGTGTGTCTACATGGGGTGGGGAGAGGTATAGACGGTACGTGAGTGCAGGCACCTCCTGAGGACCACAGCTGTCCGGGGGAGTCAGGGGAGAGGAGGTGGCTGGACAAGGGGTAAAAGGGAGGTCTTTAAAATACGGGAAACGCATCATCAGGTTTGATTTTGGGAAACAAGAAAGAAACTGTTAGGGCCGTGTGTCCACTGGTCAGGAGTAGAGTGACTCAGCACAGAGACCAGAGACCAACACTCCCTCAGTGGCCTAGGAAAAGAGGCACAGGCTCAGAAGTGATTGTAATGCTGGGGGAGCAGAGGTGATTTTAAAATGCCTTCGCTAGTTTATTTTCTCACTGAAGCAGGAAGCTAGTAATCGGAACAAGAAACGGTGTTAAATATCTAAAGAAGGGAAATAAACAGTCACCTGGGAGACAGAGAGCAAGAGGATCCGCAAGATTCAGCAGGATTTCCTGGAAGCTCTAATGCTCTCGTTGGACTGGGAGGCTCCGAGTATTTGCGGGCTCTCTCCAGCAGGGCTCAGCTGTCAGGGGCTGAGAGCAGGAGAGGAGATTTTCTTTCTGTTTGGCTGAATGAGGCCAACACTCCAAAAATGACATCAGAA